TTTTTTTTTTTTCTTTGCAGTTTTTGGCCAGGGCTGGGTTTGAACCCACCACCTCCAGCATATGGGGCTGGTGCCCTAATCCTTTGAGCCACAGGAGCCGCCCAAGCGTTTTATATTATTTTATTTTGGGGGGAAGACAGTCACACTATGTCACCCTTGGTAGAGTGCCATGGCATCACAGCTCACAGGAACCTCAAATTCTTGAGCTTAAGAGATTCTCTTGCCTCAGCCTCCCGAGTAGCTGAGGCAGGTGCCTGCCATAGCACCTGGCTATTTTAAGAGACAGGGTCTCACTCTTGCTCTGGCTGGTCTTGAACTCCTCAGCTCAGCCTCCCACAGTGCTAGGATTATAGGCATGTGCCACTGCACCCAGCCCCAGTAACTTTTTTGAGGATTAATTAGGATTTCCTATATACATTTACTGGGTTTCCTGAATCTAAGAATATTAAGTTTTTTAATTGATTTGGAATATGCTCCACTTCTTATCTTTTTAAATATTGCCTTGGTTTTGTTCTCTTAATTCTTCCTTGCTGGAACTCTTCTCTGTATTCTCCATGTCTCTCAACTTTTCCTCATATTTTCCATTTTTTAATTTTTTTTTTTTGAGACTGAGTTCCACCATGTCACTCTGTGCTATGGTGTCACAGCAACCTCAAACTCTTGGGCCCAAGTGATTCTCTTGCCTTAGCCTCCCAAGCAGCTGGGACTATAGGTGACCACCACAATGCCATCAGCTATTTTCTGGTTGCAGTTGTTTAGCTGGCCCAGGCAGGGTTTGAACTCATGACCCTCGGTGTATGTGGCTGGCACTGTAACCACTGTGCTACGGGCACCGAGCCCATTTTTTAATCTTTCTGTACTGCATTGTGAAGAATTTCTTCAGATTTATCTTCCATTTTACAAATTCTCTTCTCAGAATTTATTTTTAATCTATTTAAGCCAGGTGAGGTGGCTCACACTTGTAATCCTAGCCTCACTTTAAGAGGCCGAGGCAGGTGGACTGCTTGAGCTCAGGAGTTCAAGACCAGCCTGAACAAGAGTGGGATTCTGTCTCCACTAAAAAAAATAGAAAAATTAGCTGGGCACTGTGGCAGACACCTGTAATCCCAACTATTCAGAAGACTGAGACAAAAGGATCACTTGAGCCCAGGAGTTTGAAGCTGCTGTGAGCTACGATACCACAGCGCTTTACCCAGGGCAACAGAGTAAGACTCTGTTCCCCACCTCCAAAAAAAAAAAAAAAAGAAAGAAAAGAATGTACTCTATTTAACCTGTCCATTGAATTTTTTTTTTTTTTTGAGACAAGATCTTACTCTGTTGCCTTGGGTAAAGTGCTGTGGCATCATAGCTCATAGCAGCCTCAAACTCTTGGGCTTGAGCAATTCTCTTGCCTCAGTCCTAAATAGCTGGGACTACAGGTGCCTGCCACAATGCCCAGCTACTGTTTGTTGCAGTTGTCATTGTTGTTTAGCTGGCCTGGGCTGGGTTCAAACCCGCCAGCCTCAGTATATGTGGCTGGCACTGTAACCACTGTGCTACATGCACTGAGCCTATTCTTTTAATTTCTACAAACTCTTTTTAGTTCTTTTTCAAATATACTTAGCTATTAAAGTCCCTCATACTACAACCCCCCCCTTTTTTTTGAGGCAGAGTTTTACTTTGTTGCCCTAGGTAGAGTGTCTTGGTGTCACAGCTCAGAGCAACCTCCAACTCTTGGGCTCAAGCAATTCTCTTGTCTCAGCCTCCTACTACAGGCTACCGGCATCCACTACAATGCTCGGCTATTTTTAGACACAAGGTCTTGCCCTGGTTCAGGCTGGTCTTGAACCCATGAGCTCAGGCAATCCACCCACCTCAGTCTCCTAGAGTGCTAGGATTACAGGCATGAGGCTCGCACTTTTTGAGACATGGTCCCAGCTACTGCAGAGGTGTCACTATAACTCATTGGAACCTCAAACTCCTGGGCTCAAGCTATTCTCCTGCCTTAGTCTCGTGAGTAGATGGGTCTAGAGATGCATGACACTGTATAGGGCTAATTTTTCTATTTCTTATAGAGACAAGATCTTGCTTTTGTCAGGCTGGTCTCAAACTCCTGGCCTCAAGTAATCCTTCTACTCAGCCTCCCAAAGGTCTAAGATTACAGGTGTGGGCCACCAAACTTGGCCTATAACCCCACTTTTGTTAACTATATTAAACTTGCACTATTATATATTTGGAGGTCTTCATAATTCTTAAGATTTTTTTTTTTTTTTGGTTTTTTTTGAGACAGTGTCTCACTCTGTTGTCTGGGCTAAAGTGCTGTGGTGCCGATCTTATTCATACCAACCTCAAACTCTTGCCTCAGCCTTCTGAGTAGCTGAGACTATAGGCACCTACCACAATGCCTGGCTAAGTTTTCCATTTTTAATAGAGATGGGGGCTCTTGTTCTTGGGCTTGCTAGAGCTGGTCTCAAATTCCTGAGCTTAAGAAATCCTCCCACCTTGTCTTCCCTGAGTGGTAGGATTATAGGCATGGGCCACTGTGCCCAGCCTGCATCCAACTTTTCTGACTGTTGTTTCTGTGATCTTTTTGTCCATGGTGACATGTTTCCTCAAGTGTTTAATGATTTTTAACACTGTACATGTGACTTGGAACCTTATCTATGGAAATTCTTTAAGGCCTGGGTAGAAGACATTTTGCTGCATTTATCTTTGCTTTCTGAGACAAATGAAAAATTCTCAGCCTGAGTATAAAAGGATAAAAATCCATGCAGCAGCTTCTTTATGCTTCCAAGATCTTGGAGAGGTATTTCTCCCTGTTCAGCCATTGTAAAACAGAACCAACCTGTTACAGAGTGGGTATATTTGCATACGGAGGGTGGAGTCCTCTGGATTGGATTTGAATGGATGTCTCCTAGGTCCTTCCCACACTGACCAGGCCCTAGTCTTTGTCTCCTTGTCTCTTGTATCCCTCCCCAATCTACATGGAGGCTGCATAGCATCAGGCTTCAATCACCCCAATGGCTCAAGTGCTTCCTCTCTGGATTTTGGCTTTTATTTCATTTTTTACCTCTGAGGGTTACTTACTTTCCTGTCAGTTCATCAGTGCTTTTAGAATATTACAGCCAGCATGCATTAGTTATTTTCAGTGGGAGGACTGCTCAGAGTATTCAACTGCTATATGGTAAGACATGAAAGTCTAAGGGACTTTTTCACTGTATACCTCTACTATTCAAGAAAGATGAAAGCAGGGGAAAAAACTGTGCTCCGCTCCAACAACCGTACCTGAGTTCTGAAATCTGTCCCTGCAGCAGATTTAACTTTTGAACATGACGTCTACAGTCAGCACCAGAGCCCTCACCATAAGCCTGAAAAACAAAAAGTATATTAAGTTTAAAAAGTATTGGTAGAATGCTGAGAAACATATTTATTTGAGATTCATCTCAGGAAAGACAAAGGTGCAAGGCCCAAAGACACTTAAGGCAACATGAAGGGAATCCTGCACTGACTACTATGTCTAGAATGACTTAAAACCTAACAGGCTCTAGAACTAATAGCTTCGGTCTGTCTGGTTGCCTCATTGGTGCCTTTAACTTTACCTATAAAATCCAAACTCAACTCAAAGCCTTACACAAAATGATTAATGAATGTGAACGAAAAGTTCACAAGAAAGTAACACAAATTTCCAAAAAATATATGAACTGATACTTACCCTCATTGATAATAAAACACAAAATAAAATGAGATGCTTTTAATTTCTATAAACGTTTTTTATTTTTGAGACAGAGTCTCACTATGTTACCCTCAGTAGAGTGCTATGGCGTCATAGCTCACAGCAACCTCCAACTCTTGGGTTTAAGTGATTCCCTTGCCTCAGCCTCCCAAGTAGCTGGGACTACAGGTGCCCAACACAACACCAGGCTATTTTTTTGTTGCAGTTGTTATTGTTGCTTGGCTGGCCCGGGCTGGGTTCCAACCCTCAAGCCTGAATGTATGTGGCCAGAACCATAACCATGTTACTAAAGGTGCTAAGCCTAATTTCTACAAACTCTTTTTGGTTATTTTTCAGATATACTTAGGGCTGGGCATAGTGGCTCACACCTATAATCCTAGAACTCTGAGAGGCCCACATGGGTGGACTGGCTGAGCTCACAGGCTCCAGACCAGCCCAAGCAAGAGCAAAACCCCATCTCTAAAAATAGCCAGGCATTACGGCAGGCACCTGTAGTCTCAGCTACTTGGAAGGCTGAGGCAAGAGAATTGCTTGAACCCAAGAGTTTGAGGTTGCTGTGAGCTATGACGCCATGGCACTCTACCAAGGGTGACAAAGTGAGACTGTGTCTCAAAAAAACAAATCAAAAAGGCCCAGTGCCCATAGCACAGTGGTTATGGCATCGGCCACATATACTAAGGCCAGCGGGTTCAAACAATGGCAACTGCAACAAAAAAAAACCAGTCTGGTATTGTGGTGGGCACCTGTAGTCGCAGCTACTTGGGAGGCTGAGGCAAGAGAATTGCTTAAGCCCAAGAGTTTGAGATTGCTGTGAGCTGTGACACGACAGCACTCTACTCAGGGCAGCACAGTGAGACTCTGTCTCAAAAGGAAAAAAAAAAAAAAAATATATATATATATATATATAAGCTATTTTTCAAAGTCATTAATTCAGCCAGTACGTATTTTATCAAGCACCTATTAGGTGCCAGGCCCTGGTTTAGGTGTGAACAATACAATAGTGGACAAAACTCCCTGCCATGAGGAGCTCACATCCCAGTGGGAGGAGACAGGCAATAATCAAATGAGTGAAATCTATGGCCTATCAGATAGCAGCAAGTAGTTCTGAGAAAACAGGCAATGAAAGGGGCTGGGGTAGAAAGAGGGACAATTTTCCATGGGCTGTTCAAAGAGGTTAAGGCATGCATAACTGAGATGGTGACATGGGAGCACACATAGGAAGATATGAGAGAGCAACCTCCATTAGATGTCTGAGGAAGAACATTTCAGTAGAAGCAATGACACAGAAAGGAGTGCAAAGACTTCTGAGCTGGCACTTTGAGGAACAGTGAGGAGACCAGTGTGGCTGGAGCTGGGTGTTTTAGGTGAAAATGGTGAAGGCTGAAATTTGAGAGTGTGGGCCCACCCATGGGCAGAATCAGTATCATCGGCCTAAGACCTGCTCTATTGTTGTCATCTTTAAATTTCTAGTAATTTTGTTTTGGGATTCATTGAGGGTACAATGAATTAGGTTACACTGATTGCATCTATTAGGTAAAGTCCCTCTTATAATTGTGTCTCACTCCCAAGAAGTGTGCCCTACACCGTGACCTGCCAAAATTCCTAATAATTTGATCTTTGGGTCAGACACTGTGGCTCACACCTGTAATCCTAGCACTGCGGGAGGCCGAGGTGGGAGGACTACTTGAGCTCAGGAGTTCCAGAACAGCTGGAGTAAAGTGAGACCTTATCTCTACTAAAAACAGAAAAATTAGGCAGGTGTTATAGTACTTGCCTGTAGTTCCAGCTACTCTAGAGGCTGAGACAGAGGATTTCTTGAGCCCAGGGGTTTGAGGTTGCTGTGAGCTTTGATGCCACGACACTCCACATAGGGCAACAGAGTGAGACTTTGTCTCAAAAAAAAAGGTTAGGTTGCTCAAGGTGGCTCACACTTGTAATCCTAGCACTCTGGGAGGGCGAGGTGGGTGGATCCTGTGAGCTTAGGAGTTGGAGACCATCCTGAGCAACAGCAAAACTCCAGTTCTACTAAAAATAGAAAAACTACCCGAGCTTGGTGGTAGGCACCTGTAATCCCAGCTACTCCAGAGACTGAGGCAAAAGAAGCACCTGAACCCAGGAGTCTGAGGTTGCTGTGAGCTACAATGCCTTGGCACTCTACCAGGGTAACAGAGAGAGACTCTGTCTCAAAAAAAAAAAAAAATGGTTATTTCAAGGTTTGGCCGGGCATGGTGGCTCACACCAGTAATTCTAGCACTCTGGGAGGCCGAGGCAGATAGATTGCTTGAGCTCAGAAATTTGAGACCAGCCTGAACATGAGTGAGACCCAGTTGCTACTAAAAAAATAGAAAAATGGGGTTGCGCCTGTGGCTCAGTGGGGAGGGTGTCAGCCCCATATACTGAGTGTGGTGGGTTCAAACCCGGCCCTGGCCAAACTGCAACAAAAAAATAGCCAGGCGTTGTGGCGGGCACCTGTAGTCCCAGCTACTTAGGAGGCTGAGGCAAGAGAATTGCCTAGGCCCAGGAGTTGGAGGTTGCTGTGAGCTGTGTGATGCCATGGCACTCTACCAAGGGTGATACATGAGACTCTGTCTCTACAAAAAAAAAGAAAAATTAGCCAGGCATGGTGATGCATGCCTGTGGTCCCAGCTACCTGAATGGCTGAGGCAAGCAGATTGCTTGAGCCCAGGAGTTTGATGTTGCTATGATACCATGGCACTCTCTCTTTAAATCATTTTTTTTTTTAAGACGGAGCCTCAAGCTATCCCCCTGGGTAGAGTGCCATGGCATCACGCTCACAGCAACCTCCAACTCCTAGGTTCAAGCGAGTCTCCTGCCTCAGCCTCCCAAGTAGCTAGGACTACTGGCGCCCGCCACAACGCCTGGCCATTTTTTGGTTGCAGCCATCGTTGTTTGGCGGGCCCGGGCTGGGGATTCAAACCTGCCACCTTGGGTGTATGTGGCTGGCGCCTTAGCTGCTTGAGCCACAGGTGCCGAGCCTAAATCTTTTTTAAACTAAAAAAAAAATGAAAAATTAGCTAGGTGTTGTGACATAGCAACACCTGTAAGTACCTGGGCCTGTAAGTCCCAGCTACTTGGGAGGCTGAGGCAAGAGAACTGTCTAAGCCCAAGAGTTGGAGGTTGCTGTGAGCTGTTATGCCACAGCACTCTGCCAAGGGCAATAAAGTGAGAGTCTGTCTCTATTTAAAAAAAAAAAACCGAAAAACTTTTTTTTAAATCTTTAAACCTGTTTTATAGGTGAAGAGCAATGGGACAGGCCAGGAGAGGTGGCTCACACCTGTAATCCTAGCACTCTGGGAGGCTGAGGGGGGTAGAATGCTTAAGCTCAGGAATTTGAGACCAGCCTGGGCAATAGTGAGATCCCATCTCTATGAGAAACAGAAAAAACTAGCCAGGCATTGTGGCAGGTGCCTGTCATCCTCCAGCTACTCAGGAGGCTGAGGCAAGAGGATCAATCATTTACATCCATGGAGTTTGAGGTTGCTGTGAGCTATGACATCACAGCACTCTATCCAGGGGGACAACAGTAGACTTTGTCTCAAAAAAACAGTGGCTTGGCACCTGTATCTCAAGCATCTAGGGTGCCAGCCACATACGCCAGAGGCGGGTTTGAATCCAGCTTGGGCCTGCCTAACAACAAAGACAACTACAACCCAAAAATAGCCAAGCGTTTTGGCAGGTGCCTGTAGTCCCAGCTACTAGGTAGGCTCAGGCAAGAGAATCACCTAAGCCTAAGAGTTTGAGGTTGCTGTAAGTGATGCCACAGCACTCTACCAGGGTGACATAGTGAGACTCTGTCTCAAAAAAAAAAAAGTAGGGTGCCGGCCCCACATACCGAGGGTGGCAGGTTCAAACTTGGCCCTGGCTAAACTGCAACAAAAAATAGCCACTCTCTCAAAAAAAATAGAGAGCGCCTGTAGTCTCAGTAGTCTCAGCTACTCGGGAGGCTGAGGCAAGAGAATTACCTAAGCCCAGGAGTTGGAGGTTGCTGTGAGCTGTGTGATGCTGCCACGGCACTCCACTGAGGGCGATAAAATGAGACTCTGTCTCTAAAAAAAAGAAAATAATTGCTGGGCATTATGACAGGCGCCTGTAGTCCCAGCTACTTGGGAGGCTAAGGCAAGAGAATTGCCTATCCCCAAGAGCTGGAGGTTGCTGTGAGCTGTGACACCATGGCACTTTACCAAGGGCAACAAAGTGAGACTCTATCTCTTAAAAAAAAAAAAATGGGACAAAGAACCCATCTTTGACTAGATACACCCATTACACGTCTGCTGCTCCTCACCACCCACTCTGGAGAGCACTGTTTTTTGTTTTTGGAGACAAGAGTTTCACTCAGTTGCCCTGGAGTTGAGTGCTATGGTATCATAGCTCACAGCAACCTCAATCTCCTGGACTCAGTGATTCTCTTGCCTCAGAGTCCTGTGTAGCTGGGTCTACAGGCACCCACCACAACATCCAGCTATTTTTCAGAGACAGGGTCTTGATCTTGCTCAGGCTGGTCTTGAACTCCTGAGCTCAAGTAATCCATCTACCTTGACTAAGAGCATCCTTTATTTTTCCGAAAAAATGTCTTGCTCTATTGGCAGGCTGTAGTGCAGTTCACTGTAACCTCGAACTTCTGGGCTCAAGCAATCCTCTTGCCTCAGCTTCCCCAGGAGTTGGAACTCCAGATATGTGACACCACACCCAGCTAATTTCAGAAAGTATTCTTGCTGTCCCATGAGCAGATAATTCCCGTGGACTTATGGTGACTAGGAGCTAGTAAGTCAGGTGTAAACTGAGAACCAACCACTGTTTTCAGCAACAAGATCATTGCTGACTTTGACTTGAGCAATTTTAGTGGATGGGTGGGGAGCTGGGTGGGAAGCATTCCTGTTCGGAACACCTTCAGGTGAATGGAGAAGAAATGGAGCAGGAAATGGCAAAGTTGAAAAAGACTGATAACCCAGTTCTGGCATGATTATAGGAATGTGCTTTCCCAGAGAGCTGAATACTAAAATGCATTCTCCTCCCCTACATGAGCACAAAACCAGATAGACTTCATTCTTTAGTCTGCCTGTGGTCAGGGGTGTTTATGAAACCAGGCTCTTTCCAGGGGAAAGTCATCTTCTTCTAGGCCTTGTCCTAAAAGCGTCTCATTTAGCTCCTCCATGCTCTTACCCCTTTCAGGGGCTGGAGGCAGCTACAGGCAAGTCTTACGGAATAAAAGAGACTTAGAATGACAGAAATGACAGAATTCCCTTCCCCGCAACAAAAAAGAATGACAGAAGCCTAGATCCCTGAGCAACCACACCAACAGTACCCTGGTGACCTTAATGTCTTTTCAGGACTGTTATAAGAACAAGAAAAACACATTCTATTGTGTCAAGCCACTACAGTTTTGGTGTGTGTTTGTCAATGCAGCCAAGTCAGCCTTAAGTCATGCACCAAGGCACAGGCATAGAGGCATGAGAGAAAGGTGAAGCCTTCCTCTAGGAGAATTCAGAAATGTGTATGACACCTAAGACAAGCAGCAGTTACTATGTGGAGTGTCTGCCTAGCTAATGCGCCAGTCCCTGTCTTCTGAGACCCAATCTCAGTTCACAGGATCATAGGGGGACATCTGAGTCAGCCTGGGTCAATTGGAGGGCTTCTCCCAGGAGTTTGTAACTGGGACTCAGCTATTGCAGCTGGCTTGAAATGAATTCTGTGGACTCTGAGCAGAAAATGTTACTGTGAACTGTCTAGGGAGAAATAGAAAGGGATGGAGAAGAGAAAGAGGAAAAATATAGAAAAGAAGCTAGGTGAAGGAAGAAGGGAAGGAAAAGCTGATGCCTGGCTTGATGGAAGCTGTTCAATTTTGGCTTTTTTTTTTTTTTTTTGCAGTTTTTGGCCGGGGCTGGGCCTGAACCCCTCCACTTCTAACATATGGGGCTGGCGCCCTACTCCTTTGAGCCACAGGTGCCGCCCCAATTTTTTGTTTTTGTTTTTGAAACAGAGTCTCACTCTGTGGCCCTGGTAGAGTATCATGGAGTCATCCTAGCTCACAGCAACCTCAAACTTGTGGGCCCAAGTGATCCTCTGGCCTGAGCCACCTGAGTAGCTTGGACTACATGATACCTCCATGACACCCAGCAAGTTTTTCTATTTTTAGTAGAGATGGGGTCTTGTTCTTGCTCAGGTTGGTCTCAAACTCCTGAGCTCAAGCAATCCGCCTATCTTGACTTCCCAGAATGCAGGTGTGAGCCACCAAACTCAGCAGCTATTCAGTTCTTGGGGGTCAGTTCTCTAAGAGATCAGGGATGAAGTTCTGCCCTTGTATTTCCTAAGATACTTCATTTCTTTGCCAGCACATTTTCTTTTCCTTTGCTAAAGCCATTGTGAAGTGGTTTTGTGTATGACTTCCAAGTAAAAGAAATTTGGAAGATATCCACTAAAACAGCAACTTATAAAACTTTGTCCTTAAGGAAATAGTAAATATAATAGTTGGTCAAGTGAACTAAAAAGTGTTATCATCACAGAGCTGTACATAACAGTGAAAAGGAAAATTAGGTTAAATGTCATCAGTGTGGGAGTGATTACTTATGCATTTATTCAATGGAGCACTGGCTAGGTGCCAGCATTGTACTGGGTGCTGAGGATACATCAGTAAATAAAATACAAAATGCCTCTGCTTTCATGGAGCATACAGTCTAATGGGCGATATCTGCATAAACACATTGATACATAATTTCCCAGAGGATATTGAGAAGAGGGAAGAGAGCCCCAAAATAAGCACAAAGGCCCCAAGAGGGAGAAAGTGTGGACTGTTTCAAGATCAGAAAGAAAGCTACTCTGGTTATAGAAGCAAGTGAATAAAGGTAGGTCTAATAAAGTAGGGTGTGGGATAGGCTGTGGTACTGAAGAGTTTAGGTAGGACACAAGGGATGGGCTTGAAAAGATGTGCTCGGCTCGG